TGCATGCCCTCTTTGCACTTTTTCTAGGTGTTTACGTTGTGAGGCATGTAGGAGGGAAGACCAGGTAGGGGAGGCATAGTGAGCTTGGGAAGTATGAATGTTGTGTAAACGAGGAGCTCGGGTGCAGGAACCCGAGGGACTTGAGTCGGCGGAGAAGGTGGAGACGGAACCGAGGATTTGACAACTTCACAGACGTGTGGTTTCCAATTTAGTTTGTTGTCTATGGTGACGCCGAGGAGCTTAGTGGAATCTACAACCTGGAGTGTTGCGACCTAAAGTAATGGAAGGGGTGGGACAACGTCGGAGGAGAGGTTGATGGCAAACCATGGTCTTGGTATGGTTGATGGTGACATGGGGTGGCCCAGTTTTGGAGACTGTTCAATAAATCCTGAAGGGCGGTAGTTGGGAGCAGAATTGTTGACGCTGATCCCAATGGTGGAGTCGTCGACATATTTCCCACGAGCAGGGTTTCTTAGGCATCATTGATAAGCATAGAAGCAGAGCGGTCCCATCTTGGAGTTTTGGGGACGCTACAGGTGAGTGACTGAAAGGTGGAGACAGCCTCCGAAGCATAAAGCTTGGCATCGGTCACTGAGGAAGTCAGTAAGCCATGGTATGTGGTGTGTGTGTGTGTGTGTGTGTGTGTGTGTGTGTGTGTGTGTGTGTGTGTGTGTGGTGTGTGTGTGTGTGTGTGTGTGTGTGTGTGTGTGTGGTGTGTGTGTGGTGTGTGTGTGTGTGTGTGTGTGTATGTGTGTGTGTGTGTGTGTGGTGTGTGTGTGTGTGTGTGTGTATGTGGCTACCTGTGTTATGGTCAGCAAAGAGGGTTGGTGAAAGGAAGAAGAAAAGTTTATGTCATTTACCTTGTCCTTCTCCCCTCTCCTTCATCCTTCTCCCCTTCTCCTTCTCTCGCTCTATCTTTATCCCTTCCGTCTAATATATCCCTTACTCTTCTCTCTCCTCATTTCTTCTCTTTCTTCCTTCTCCTACATTATCTCATTTCTCCTATCCTTTGTTAATTCCTCCTCTCCCTTCCTCTTCCTCCCACCTCCCACTCCTGCCACCTCTTCCTCTTTTCATCACTCCTACATCAAAGTCTTCCTTATTTCCCAGTAATCTTGATTTATTTCTTTTCCCTCCTTCCTCTTCAATACTTTCTCTCTTCATAAATTCAAACTCATGCTCTCCTTCCCACCTCTCCCTGGCCCTCACACCTCCCCTGGCATCACACCTCCCTTGGCCTCACACTCTCCCTGGCCTCACACTCTCCTGGCCTCACACTCCCCTGCCTCACACATCTCCCCTGGCCTCACACTCCTCCCTGGTCTCCACACCTCCCGGCCTCACACTCTCCCTGGCCTCCACGCCCCTGGCCTCACACCTATATTAAAGGTGTTGTCTCAAAAGCAAAAATATTTTCGCCGTTGTCTTCCCCAGAGTGAGATGTCTTCATACTAATAAAAATAATTCATTTGACACAAAAACTGAGTAATGAAGACAGAAAGAATCACATACACAGACAAAGAGAGAAAGAGAGAGAGAGAGAGAGAGAGAGAGAGAGAGAGAGAGAGAGAGAGAGAGAGAGAGAGATGCATTATCCACGAGACGATGTGTTTAATAGAGTAAAAGAGAGCCAGTAGCGTCCTCGTGAGATTCAGGAAACTCATTACGGTTCTTAACTCATATTAAAACATAATTAAAAAGTCACTTTATGGTTTAATTCCACGAGGTAGGAGAAGTGCTGGGAGTACAGGTAGGAGAGGTGCTGGGAGTACAGGTAGGAGAGGTGCTGGGAGTACAGGGTGAGAAGTGCTAAAGGTACCTGTACTCCTAGCACCTCTTAACTGTACTCTCAGCACCTCTCCTACCTGTACTCCCAGCACCCTCCTACCTCTACCCCAGCACCTCTCTACCTGTACTCCCCAGGAAAATGCTAAGTGCAACGGCACTCCAGGGCCCTCTGAGAGAAGTTGGCGCGCCCAGGTGAGGCCAGGGCGGTAGAGCCTCCAGAGGCCCTGCCAGTGGCGGTGGCGCCCCCAGAGGCTCTTCCACGGGCGGTGGCGCCCCAGAGGCCTTCCAGGACGTCGGCGTCCAGGAGCCCTGTAAGGGGTGCAGGACGGCCCTGGGCGCCCTGCCAGGGCGGTGGCGCCAACAGGGGCCCGCCCAGGAACACCATGCCAGGGCTCTCCTTAGGGGCAGCTTGAAGTTAGACGGATTGTATGAGTATGGAAACACAGAAGAGGGCAGAGCATTCCACAGTTTGGCTGTGGAGGAAAGAAGGAGGTACTATAACGGGTTATTATAGTGTGACCGACATCCACAGAGAAACTGTGGGCACCGCGGGCAAGACGAGTGTTAAGAGCCCCCAGCCTTGCTGGCGGTACACAGGATGCCAAATCCACCGAACATTGCCCCTTAAAGTAACTGTAAAAGAGAGAGAGTGAAACAACATGAAGGGTAATTACCGCCATACATATACTGAAATGTTTTATTCGTATACAAAAATACAATGAATACATTTACAAATACATTTTGGTGAATTGGTAAAGTACACTAATATAGATGCGTCCGGTTGTTGTTGGGCAAATATATCACACTCTTGATGGTTTAATAATAATAATACCTTCGTGTCCTGATTTATTATACTCAGGTGTATTCCGTTATTATAATACGTGGCACGTGTTGACACAAACCAATCTAAACTGTGTATTCAAAATGTTCCTGACGATGTACAGTATTGTCATCCTAACTTTATTATTATGCACAGTGACCTTAGCCATACATGATAATTAAAATTACCTATTTACAAAAATGCTATTGGTTAGACATAGTATTGAAAACTGTATGTATGTACAATGGTTTCTATACATAGTAAAGTATTCTAACCTGTTTATATATACACACACACTGTTCCTGGCCATACACACTCCACTGAAGAGCTGGGGAGCCAGAGGAGTGAGGTCTCACAGCCTTTCACACACCCCTTACACCTACCACAGTCCCTAGGTTCTAGTACATTCCTTGTCCTCACCACAACACAACCCTTATCCCCACCACATATAACTCTGGTCCTCATCATGGCCCTGGTCCTCACCATGGCCCTGGTCCTCACCATGGCCCTGGTCCTCACCATGGCCCTGGTCCTCACCATGGCCCTGGTCCTCACCATGGCCCTGGTCCTCACCATGGCCCTGGTCCTCACCATGGCCCTGGTCCTCACCATGTCTTGTCTCTCACCATGCCCTGGTCCTCACCATGGCCCTGGTCTCACCATGGCCCCATCTCACCATGGCCCTGGTCCTCACCATGGCCCTGGTCCTCACCATGGCCCTGGTCCTCACCATGGCCCTGGTCCTCACCATGGTCTTGTCCTCACCATGGCCCTGGTCCTCAACAGGCCCTGGCCTCACTCATGGCCCTGGTCCTCACCATGGCCCTGGCACTCATCCCACGCTTGTATAACAAATGAGGGAGGCGATTCACCTTATCTTACTTGTATAACAAGCAGTGATACTCTCAAACGGTACTTACACCTTGTTCCTCGCAGGTCAACCTTGTTTAATCATCCCCTAATACAAACATTACTACAGACATCATCTTATAAAAATATAACAATGTTGATTAATATATATATATATATATATGTGTCAGACTCTGCTTAAGAGACAGTAACAACAACACGTCCAGCTGGTGGAGGTGTTGTAATATTGGTATGGCACTGGTGATGGATGTGAAGGTGAGATGGTGATTTGGAGATGATGGTGAGGATGTAATTAATAAACATTGTAGTATAATTATGTTTCAGTCTTATACAGATCCTTTATGAACCAGACACAGAGAACAATATGACTCAGATTCACTTTACAATATTTTCACCAATGACAATAAGAAAACTTTAGGAGTAACACACCCAGAGAACTAAGACTCGGAAATGGAAAACAAATCTTGGAACTGTATCTGTAGTTTAATAATAATTATTTGTGTGGCATTACCATATTAATTATATAACATTACAAAGAATTACAGTTGTATACAGAAATTACATAATAAATAAATAAACACACACAAACAATAATATTTTTAATTTAACGGAAAACAAATATTATCTTACACTGACTGCATCACTTGCTGTGGCTATCAATCAGCTGTGTGGGTGATGCTGCAGGTGTGGGTGATGTGCAGTGGATGCCAGGTGTGTGGGTGATGCTGCAGGTGGGTGATGCACCAGGTGATGTTGCAGGTGGGTATGTGGGCGGTGTTGGGTGATGTAGTGTTTGTGATGCACCAGGTGTGGGTTGGATGAAACAGCTGCAGATGTGGGCGCCACTGCAGGTGCACCAGGGCTATGCACCAGGTGTGGGTGATGCACCAGGTGTGGGTGCACCAGGTGTGTATGCCAGGTGTGTATGCTCAGGTTTGGGTACCAGGTGTGGTGCACACCAGGTGTGGGTGCCCTGAGGTGTGTGCTATGCCAGGTTTTGGGTGATGCACCAGGTGTGGGTGATGCACCAGGTGTGGGTTATCAACCAGGTGTGGGCTATGCACCAGGTGTGTGCTATGCACCAGGTGGGTGATGCACAGGTGTGGGTGATGCACAGGTGTGGGTGATGCACCAGGTGTGGGTATGCACCAGGTGGTGGGTTATCAACCAGGCGTGGGCACTGCACATATGGGCTATGCACCAGGTGTGGGCTATGCCAGGCCATGGGCAATGCAGCAGGTGTGGTGGGCAGTGCAGCAGGCGTGGACGAATGCAGCAGATGTGGGCGATGCAGCAGGCGTGGACGATGCAGCAGGTGGGCGATGCTAGGGTGGGCAATGAAGCAGGTGTGGGGATTGCAGCAGCGTGGGCTGGTGTGGGCAGGTGTGGGTAGTACAATTAGGACTTCCTCGGGAACCAGCTGTGTTGTTCATGAGTTGTAACCGTTGGTGATCGACTGTTTACTGTGTTGTTCTGAGGTCAGACCGTTTGGTAACACTGTGTTGTTCTGAGGTCAGACCGTTGGTAACACTGTTGTTGTTTGAAGTCAGACCGTTAGTAACACTGTGTTGTTGAGTCGGACCGTTGGTAACACTGTGTTGTTGTGAGGTCGGACCGTTGGTAACACTGTGTTGTTCTGAGGTCGGACCGTTGGTAACACTGTAAGACAGAGAAAGACAACCATCTTTAACTGGTAAGGATGTCAGTTGAAGGGGTGTCAGATGAAGGGGTGTCAGATGAAGGGGGTGTCAGTTGAAGGGGTGTCAGATGAAGGGGTGTCAGATGAAGGTGTCAGATGAAGGGGGTGTCAGATTGAAGGGTGTCAGATGAAGGGGTGTCAGATGAAGGGGTGTCAGTGAAGGGGTGTCAGATGAAGGGGTGTCAGATGAAGGGGGTGTCAGATGAAGGGGTGTCAGTTGAAGGGGTGTCAGATGAAGGGGTGTCAGATGAAGGGGTGTCAGTTGAAGGGTGTCAGATGAAGGGGTGTCAGATGAAGGGGTGTCAGATGAAGGGGGTGTCAGATGAAGGGGTGTCAGATGAAGGGGTGTCAGATGAAGGGGGTGTCAGTTGAAGGGGTGTCAGATGAAGGGGGTGTCAGATGAAGGGGTGTCAGATGAAGGGTGTCAGCAGATGAAGGGGTGTCAGATGAAGAAGTGTCAGATGAAGGGTGTCAGATGAAGGGTGTCAGGTGAAGGGGGTGTCAGTTGAAGGGGTGTCAGATGAAGGGGTGTCAGTTGAGAGGGTGTCAGATGAAGGGGTGTCAGATGAAGGTGTCAGATGAGGTGTCAGATGAAGGTGTCAGCTGAAGGTGTCCAGATGAAGGGGTGTCAGCTGAAGGGGTGTCAGATGAAGGGGTGTCAGATGAAGAGTTGTCAGATGAAGGGGGTGTCAGATGAAGGGGTGTCAGATGAAGGGGTGTCAGATGAAGGGTGTCAGTTGAAGGGGGTGTCAGTTGAAGGGGTGTCAGATGAAGGGGGTGTCAGATGAAGGGGGTGTCAGCTGAAGGGGTGGTCAGATGAAGGGGTGTCAGTTGAAGGGGTGTCCAGATGAAGGGAATGTCAGATGAAAGGGGTGTCAGATGAAGGGGGTGTCAGATGAAGGTGTCAGATGAAGGGGTGTCAGATGAAGGGGTGTCAGATGAAGGGGGTGTCAGATGAAGGGGGTGTCAGATGGAAGGGTGTCAGATGAAGAATTGGCAGATGAGGGTGTCAGATGAAGGGGGTGTCAGATGAGGGTGTCAGTTGAAGGGGAGTGTCAGATGAAGGGGTGTCAGTTGAAGGGGGTGTCAGATGAAGGAGTGTGTCAGTTGAAGGGGGTGTCAGATGAAGGGGGTGTCAGATGAAGGGTGTCAGATGAAGGGGTGTTCAGATGAAGGGGGTGTCAGATGAAGGGGTGTCAGATGAAGGGGTGTCAGATGAAAGTGTCAGATGAAGGGGGTGTCAGATGAAGTGTCAGTTGAAGGGTGTGTCAAGTGAGGGTGTCAGATGGGGGAAGGTGTCAGATGAAGGTAATATATGAGATTTAAAGTTGACATACACGAGTGAGTTACTTTAATACAATAACAACTGTTGTGTTTCCATTAGTTGACTGTATTCCCCGGGTTGTAGAGGATCAACTGTTACAAACATCTTGGAAACATTGTGTTGTTACGAGGACTCACATGATCAAGTGTTTCTGCTCAGGTGGCTTCTCATTCAAAGACGCATTTTACATCAGTTCCTTCTTTTTTGGCGGCCAGTATGAAGATCAGACAGCCATAATAAAGCCACTGGGAACAAGAGAAGCTCATACTACAGTAAACCATAAAACAACTGTATATGTATCCTGTGTTCTTGTGTCTTTGTTGATAGGTTTCCATTGATGATATTCCCTCATTTCCTCTTCTCAGTTGTCAAAACAACTTTACACTCTCTAAATAAAGTGTTATTACTCATTTATTCTACTGCACGATATGAAAAAGTTGATGAGTTGTCAATGGAAAAGAGATCTTTAAAATATCAAATCATCAGTAAACCTCCTGTTCGTGTGAGCATCTGTGTCAGTGGTGGTACTAAGGGCTACCTGACCTAACTAGCCCTTAATGGCCTCTTTTCCACCATAGTCTCTGAGTGGAGGCCAATCTATGAGTGTATAGTGAATCAGGTGACCTTGTCTGACTAAGTTCTTGAACACTTTACTATTAAATGGATCACGGCACATGTTCTCTTAGGCGTCGCCCCACTGTGTGAGGGACACGTTTAATTGTAAATATCTGTGTGTTTACTATATCGTACCTAATAGAAGCTTATATATTGTTTTCATGATACCCAGGAGCATCATGTTCTAGGACTCACTGGCTGTCACACATGGAGGCAGAGCTGCGGCCTATTGCCCAAATATTAGGGAACTGTTTGTTGTGTCTGGAAAGTAATAGTAACAACATATGTATACAACTGACCTAAAACGAGTAGTTTCTGCCCAATTTTGTTTGTTCCCGACAGCTGAGAGAAACTGGGTAATTACTGGGTGAATCACGCTCTTGTCATGGGATATTTCTTCTCCGTGATGCACTTCCTGAGGCGTTTTTGCGCATGCACGACCAAGTTTCTACACACCGTTATATTTCTATCACACGCTGGTCATTTATATTGAAGATACCATTATTGCCAGACAATATTCAAGAGATAAAGTATAGTTAAGTATTACCATCAAGGGAGAATGTCCAGTCACTCGTCCAAGACTCAACCAAATGGAATTTTTAAATATGCAAAAAAAATTGAGCTTACGGGTAAGACTTACAATAATTATCATTGACAAAGCCTTTCATATTTAATAACTAATTTATTGACTATATATAATCTAGAGTCTACGGGACACTCGACCGACATCACTCCATTAGACTATTTGAGTGCGTGTTGAAGCCAAGGACCATATGATAATGGCCGTCATCGCTACCACGACTATGGACATGTTGCGGTGAATGTGGCCTGATATCGACTATCGGTTAGACGTGTTGAGAAGCGCTAATGGTGCAAATGTTTAAGCTGGGTTACAAGATGGTGCAATATACATGCTTGTATATCTTCAAGGTTATTCTTTTACTTATAATTATTAAAGGAAAGATAAATTAGAAACATTTTATTACAACTGGTAAGGAATTTTCTGACCTCACTGGAGTAGACAAGTGTTCAGACAAGGAAGTACTTATCGTAGACAACTGTTATGATGCGAACAGACGTCGCCAGATACTGGTTTGTCTGGGATCAGCTCACAAATAGTCACCTCGCACGATAGATGTTGTTGTTACATTAGTATTAACTGGACGAAGGTAATGGCAGGTCAGTTTTAACATTAAATTATAAACCAATTATAACAGTTATTAAGATACACGAAAAATCTCTTTGGGTGTTGAATTTAGGCAGATTAATCTTATCATCGTATTATAGGATGACCCTGCATAAAGGTCATACTATTGATGGGTAGAGGTCAAACTAGCGACACACTAGGACCATTTTGGGTAACACTTGAATCATCCAAAGGTCACACTGGGGTTATACTAGGTCACATTAGGGTCACACTAGGACCATTTTGGGTCACACTTGAATCATCCAAAGGTCACACTGGGGTTATACTAGGTCACATTAGGGTCACACTAATAACAAGACTCTCACACTTACCCTACACGGAGCTTTCTTTCTGTGGAGCAATAAGCGGGACACTGGCCTCTCTGTCGCTCTTATAAGGATCACGCCTGAGTGAATGTCTTCTGACTATATTCGTGGTTGAAGGTGTCCAGTTGACCCTCTGTTGCTGCTGTGGTTGGTGCAGGTGCTGTTGTGAGTGGTGGGTCATGTGTGTGGGGGTGATGTGGTGGTGGTGGGTGATGTGTGTGGGGGTGCTGGTGGATGTGTGTGGGTAAACGGAGCCGGAGGAGGGAGAGGAGTGTTGATGGTGGTGAGAGGGTGGTGGTGGTGGGTGGCTGAGGGCGGCATATACCACCCGCTGCTGTGGTGGGTGGCAGTGGTGAGGCGGCGCGGCTGTGGTGGCATTCGCCAACAGGAGCTCCGCGTACTGCACACTGCTGCTGCCACACACCTGCTAGGAGGACCACACCTCTGTTAAGGTCGCAGTGTTACCTGAGACTTTACCTGTGTTAATAAGGTGACCCCGGGAGGTAACTACCGAGGGAACAACTCTATCTATCTATCCATCTATCTATCTATCTATCTATCTATCTATCTAAAAGTATGAAACAAAATTATTATGTGAATTTATTCTCCCTTCAATTCATGTTAAGTTGAATAATTGTGTTCTGTTATATATCTCTCTCTCTCTCTCTCTCTCTCTCTCTCTCTCTCTCTCTCTCTCTCTCTCTCTCTCCGCTAGTTCCTCCTATTCTATCATTTTCTCTTCCAGTTTTATCTCCTTTAATATATTTCATTGCCTCCTCTCCCCCTCTCTCTCTCTCTGGCTCTCACCTGGTAATTAGCAGTGTGGGTGTACAGGTGGGCGGCCCGAGGGAGGGTGGCGTAACTGGGCGGCATAGAGGCTGAGCTGATGGTGTTCACGCCCTCGATGTGCCAAGAGTCTGTGTCTGTGTGGCATAGTTGACATATTAGTTACTGTGATGGTCGTTAACTACTGTGATGGTTGTTAACTACTGTGATGGTCGTTAACTACTGTGATGGTCGTTAACTACTATGATGGTCGTTAACTACTATGATGGTTGTTAACTACTGTGATGGTCGTTAACTACTGTGATGGTTGTTAACTACTATGATGGTCGTTAACTACTATGATGGTTGTTAACTACTGTGATGGTCGTTAACTACTGTGATGGTTGTTAACTACTATGATGGTCGTTAACTACTGTGATGGTCGTTAACTACTGTGATGGTCGTTAACTACTGTGATGGTCGTTAACTACTATGATGGTCGTTAACTACTATGATGGTTGTTAACTACTGTGATGGTCGTTAACTACTGTGATGGTTGTTAACTACTATGATGGTCGTTAACTACTATGATGGTTGTTAACTACTGTGATGGTCGTTAACTACTGTGATGGTTGTTAACTACTGTGATGGTTGTTGGTCACAGTGTTGTCAGAGACGACGGTACGATAATCATTGGCTTGTCACTTCTGGGGAATGACGTCAGGAGCTCACCTAATTGGTTGGTAGAATTCCTATTTTACCTGCATAGTCTATGACGTCATTGACAGGGTCATCTAAATGAGGGGTCAGGTCAGGAGCTAGTCAGTGTAGGAGGTGACGTCAGGAGCTAGTCAGTGTAGGAGGTGACGTCAGCGACTTGGGTGCTGAGATTTACTTGAAGGAAAAGAACAAATATGTGTACAGCAGAGACCCATGTGAGGTAGACTCACCTGAGAGGTAGACTCACCTGAGAGGTAGACCCACCTGAGAGGTAGACTCACCTGAGAGGTAGACTCACCTGAGAGGTAGACCCGAGAGGTAGACCCACCAGTAGACTCACCTGAGAGGGAGACCACCTGAGAGGTAGACTCACCTGAGAGGTACACTCACCTGAGGTAGACTCCACTAGAGGTAGAGCTCACCTGAGAGGTAGACTCACCTGAGAGTGTACATCACCTGAGGAGGTAGACTCACCTGAGAGGTAGACTCACCTGAGAGGTAGACTCACCTGAGAGGTAGACTCACCTGAGAGGGTAGACACACCTGAGAGGTAGACTCCACCTGAGAGGTAGACTCACCTGAGAGGCACACCACCTGAGAGGTAGACTCACCTGAGAGGTAGACTCACCTGAGAGGTAACTCACCGAGAGGTACACTCACCTGAGAGGCACACTCACCTGAGAGGCACACTCACCTGAGAGGTAGACCACCCGGGAGGCACCACCTGAGAGGCACACCTGAGAGGGGTAGACCCACCTGAGGTAGACTCCACCTGAGAGGTAGACCACCTGAGGTAGACTCACCTGAGAGGGACACTCACCTGAGAGACTACCTGAGAGAGACCACCTGAGAGAGGTAGACTCACCTGAGAGGTGTACACCACCTGAGGGGACACACCTGAGAGGCCCACCTGAGAGGGACTCACCTGAGAGGGGTACATCACCTGAGAGACTCCACCTGAGAGGTAGACTCACCTGAGGCACCCACCTGAGAGGTAACTCACCTGAGAGGTAGACTCCACCTGAGAGTAGACTCACCTGAGGTAGACTCACCTGAGAGGTAGACTCACCTGAGAGGTAGACTCACCTGAGAGGTAGACTCCACCTGAGAGGTAGACTCACCTGAGAGGTAGAGACACACCTGAGAGGTAGACTCCACCTGAGAGGTAGACTCACCTGAGAGGTAGATCACCTGAGAGGTAGACTCACCTGAGAGGTGACCCACCTGAGAGGTAGACTCACCTGAGAGGCACACCCACCTGAGAGGTAGACACACCTGAGAGGTGGAGACCCACCTGAGAGGTAGACTCACCGAGAGGTAGACTACCTGAGAGGGACCCACCTGAGAGGTAGACTCACCTGAGAGGTAGATCACCTGAGGTGACTCACCTGAGAGGGACCACCTGAGAGGGATCACTGAGAGGTAGACCCACCTGAGAGGTAGACTCACCTGAGAGGTAGACTCACCTGAGAGGGTAGACTCACCTGAGAGGTAACTCACCTGAGAGGAGACCACAGGGGACACCTGGAGAGGTAGACTCACCTGAGAGGTAGACTCACCTGAGAGGTAGACTCACCTGAGAGGTAGACTCACCTGGAGAGGTAGACCACTGAGAGGTAGATCACCTGAGAGGGTAGACTCACCTGAGAGGTAGGACTCACCGAGAGGTAGACTCACCTGAGAGGGACCACCTGAGAGGTAGACTCACCTGAGAGGTAGACTCACCTGAGAGGTAGACTCACCTGAGAGGAGACCACCTGAGAGACTCACCTGAGAGGTAGACTCACCTGAGAGGTAGACTCACCTGGAGAGGTAGACTCACCTGAGAGGTAGACCCACCTGAGAGGTAGACTCACCTGGAGAGGTAGACTCACCTGGAGAGGTGTAGACTCACCTGAGAGGTGACTCACCTGAGAGGTGACTCACCTGAGAGGTAGACTCACCTGAGAGGTAGACTCACCTGAGTAGACTCACCTGAGAGGTAGACTCACCTGAGAGGTAGACTCACCTGAGAGGTAGACTCCACCTGAGAGGTAGACCCACCTGAGAGGTAGACTCACCTGAGGAGGTAGACTCACCTGAGGTAGACTCACCTGAGAGGTAGACTCCACCGAGAGGTGGACTCACCTGAGGAGGTAGACTCACCTGAGAGGTAGACTCACCTGAGAGGTAGACTCACCTGAGAGGGATCCACCTGAGAGGTAGACCTCACCCTGAGAGTAGACTCACCTGAGGAGGTGACTCACCTGAGGTACACTCACCTGAGAGGTAGACTCACCTGAGAGGTAGACCCACCTGAGAGTAGACTCACCTGAGAGGCACACTCACCTGGAGAGGCACACTCACCTGAGAGGGACCTGAGAGGTACACTCACCTGAGAGGTAGACTCACCTGAGAGGTAGACTCCACCTGAGAGGTAGACCCACCCTGGAGGTAGAGCTCACCTGAGAGGTAGACCCACCTGAGAGGTAGACCCACCTGAGGTAGACTCACCTGAGAGGTAGACCCACCTGAGAGGTAGACACACCTGAGAGGTAGGACCCACCTGAGAGGTAGACTCACCTGAGAGGTAGACTCACCTGAGAGGTACACTCACCTGAGAGGTAGATCACCTGGAGAGGTAGACTCACCTGAGAGGTAGACTCACCTTGAGAGGTAGACTCACCTGGAGAGGAGACCCACCTGAGAGGTAGACTCACCTGGAGTGGGTATCATCAGGGTTCTTTCGTCACTGGGGGGAGGGGTGAGGGCAGGTCCTGGAGGGTGGTGGCCGACATGGTAGATTGAGTAGCCACACCCACTTCCTCCAGACACCCTCCTGCCTCCCTCACGCCCACACTCCGCCCACACTCGGCCCTCTCCTCCGCCCGTCGCTCGTAGCGCAGCCTCACCACCGCACACACCATCACGACCAACACCATCAGGCCGCCCACGACACCCACCACCAAGGCTATAATGGACTTGATAGTGAAGGGTGGTGATGACTGTCCGTGGGTGGGAGGGGGCTTGATTGCCGCTGTGGGTTGAAACACATTGAGTGACAGGTGAGTGACAGGTGAGTGACAGGTGAGACACAGGTAAGATATAGGTGGTAGGAGCTTGCACAGCAGCAAAGGAACCTGTGTAAACGTTCAACCTGCCCGGAAGTGTATCATAGGACCTAGTGTGTGTGTAATAATAATAATAATAATAAACGGCTTATTAATAGAGTGCCGGTGGCTGAAAATATACAGACTTACATTTGATTTTAGATAATGATATAATATGCACTGAATACATTTACAGGGCTGTACACAGTATAATCAGGAGTTGTTTATTATTTTAACAATAGATGGGATGGTGCTGTTCTTATATCTATCGGTGCGGGCTCTTATGGGCCCGCACCGATGTGAGTGTGTGAGTGTGTGTGTGTGTGTGTGTGTGTGTGTGAATCGATAAATGGATTGTGTTACTGGATAATTAAGAGTTAACGAGTCTGGTGAGTTTTCACTTCTTTCTGAGCTCTTCCTTGACACAGTTACAAAGTTACCTCACTACCTTAAGTGTGTTGGTGTTGTCGGCAGCTGCTACACCCTCAACAAAATACACTCTACAGTAGGTAGCCGGGGAGTCCCTCTATAGGTTTGTGTCCTATTTCTCTCCAGGCCAAATAGGTTATTTATTAAGGAGTGAATTAGTTATATAATATGTCTTTGTGTGAGTCGTTAGCTCAAGTGGAGACTCACCTGTGCGTCTCTCAGCGTCCTTGATGGTGTACACCTGGAGAGACACCATCTCCCCGCGCCCCTTCTCATTGGTGGAGTAAATCACCCCCATAAACGCCAGCCCTGGCGATAGGTCCATCACCGTAAACGTAGGCACCTGCAACAGATACCCATGAACGTCAGTTGCCCACACACCCATATAGTGAGGACTCAGGTGGACACAGTGCACAGGTCCTCCTCCATACATGCTTTTATATGCAGTTAAATAACCTGTACACACACGCGAGTACACCGTAGTAATCACACTGGTACACGGATCTGCACCTTCATGCGTGTATGCCCTTTGACCCCAGGTTGCCACACTGACACACAGACCAACACTTGTAGATATAACAAACACACTCATGTATTTTCCTGCAACCTTACGTACATAAACTGCTACGAACACACACACACACACAAACACACACATACACACACACACACAGACACACACACACACCAGTAATTACATAAATACACAAACTTTGCTCTTAAAATCTTGTTTGTTTCTGACACATAAATATCACAGCTGTTGCGGAAAACATGAACGCGTGGGCCAGTGAGTGCTAACGCCAGCTCAACCACAAGTGAGGGTAAACATTTTGTGGCTGACACGGAGATAAGATTTTCTTTGAGCCTTTAACTTTAAGGCCAGAAGTAAGACGCCTTTTCATGCCTTTGAGAATCGGCATACAGGAAATATAAACCAAAAGCTTAGTGTACTAGCCACTCAGAGAGCTTGTGGTCGATCTTGTGGTGGCAGAGAGAGAGAGTATTAGCGGGGCCTGGTCGATCTAGTGGTGACAGAGAGAGAGTATTAGCGGGGACCGGTCGATCTAGTGGCGACAGAGAGTATTAGTGGGGCCTGGTCGATCTAGTGGTGACAGAGAGAGAGTATTAACGGGGTCTTGGCCACTCAGAGAGCTTACCTTATTGACCACTCTTGGATTGTTTTTGTCAATCAGAGAGCACAGCTTATTGGCCATTCAGAAAGCTCTCTGTCACCTGTTTTTTTAATTCATCTTCACAGACTGGTTAACATAACACAGATATGTCACTCATTTGCCTTAAACCGTTATATTACAGGTGTTAAACCATCGTCCTCAAAAGGTTAAACCATCGCCCTCAAAAGGTTAAGCCATTGCCCTCAGAAGGTTAAACCATCGTCCTCAAAAGGTTAAGCCATTGCCCTCAGAAGGTTAAACCATCGTCCTCAAAAGGTTAAACCATTGTCCTCAAAAGGTTAAACCATCTTCCGTTTAGTGGTTAAAACACCGTCTTCAATCTACAAAACCATCGTTCATGGTCAGTAAACACAAATTGGTCTTAAAGTATACCGGTTTAATTATACTGAAGATTATATTTAGGGTTTTGACTCCAATACACACACACACACACACACACACACACACACACACACACACACACACTCTACCCACCTTGTTAGTAACGTTAGCTAAGAGTCTGTTAGAGCGAGGTTCATACAGTTCCAGGATGAAGGTCTGTGGTAGGCCTCCGTCGAACCCCGACACACACCTGACGTTCACCACGGACACTGATAGGTTATAGGACGAGCAGTTGTGTACCGGATCTGGTCGACCTGTTGGAGGTAGAGGAAGACAGGGAGGGTTAGTGGTCGACCTGTTGGAGGTAGAGGAAGACAGGGAGGGTTAGTGGTCGACCTGGTGGAGGTAGAGGAAGACAGGGAGGGTTAGTGGTCGACCTGTTGGAGGTAGAGGAAGACAGGGAGGGTTAGTGGTCGACCTGGTGGAGGTAGAGGAAGACAGGGAGGGTTAGTGGTCGACCTGTTGGAGGTAGAGGAAGACAGGGAGGGTTAGTGGTCGACCTGGTGGAGGTAGAGGAAGACAGGGAGGGTTAGTGGTCGACCTGTTGGAGGTAGAGGAAGACAGGGAGGGTTAGTGGTCGACCTGGTGGAGGTAGAGGAAGACAGGGAGGGTTAGTAGTCGACCTGGTGGAGGTAAAGGAAGACAGGGAGGGTAGTTGATTTAGTGGTGACAGAACAGGGAACACCAATGGAACACCAATGGAACACTACAGGGAACACTACAGGCAACACTAAAGGGAACACTAAAGGGAACACATAGGGAACACTACAGGGAAAACACAAGGAACACGCAGGGAACACTATTCACCACCAGGGAACACACAAGGAACACTACTCACCAACAGGGAACACCCAGGGAACACTCACTAACAGGGAACACGCAGGGAACACTACTCACCAACAGGGAACACACAGGGAACACTACTCACCAACAGGGAACACACAGGGAACACTCACCAGCAGGGAACACACAAGGAACATTACTCACCGTCAGGGAACACACAGGGAACACACAAGGGACACTATTCACCACTAGGGAACACTACAGGAAACATCCAGGGAACACTCACTAACAGGGAACACACAAGGAATACTACTCACCAGCAGGAAACACATGGAACACTACTCACCAGCAGGAAACACATGGAACACTACTCACCAGCAGGAAACACATGGAACACTACTCACCAGCAGGAAACACACAAGGAACAATACTCACCAGCAGGGAACACACAAGGAACTATACTCACCACTTGGGGAACACACAAGGAACTATACTCACCACTTGGGAACACACAAGGAACACTAGTCACCAGCAGAGAACACACAAGGAACAATACTCACCAGCAGGGAACACACAAGGAACAATACTCACCACTAGGGAACACACAAGGAACAATACTCACCACTAGGGAACACACAAGGAACAATACTCACCACTAGGGAACACACATGGAACACTCACCAGCAGGGAACACATGGAACACACAGGGGTAGCGTTGAGTACCCACAGCGTTTGTTCCCCAGCATAACAACGTCCCATAGTCAAGCTCAGTATTTGGGGTGTAACTCACTGTTGACTTTGACTGAGGACCCGAGACTAGGATGTGAGTCTGGGGATGGAAACAGTAAGACAATTGGTTACTCACGTCACTCACAGGTTCTGTAACTCATAATAGTTCTAATTTATTTGTGCTGTAACTTGTAAATTAATATAATCTATTATGTAACGACTGTAACTTTGGTGAATTTAAACTTATTGTATCGTAAATCTTGACTGGTATTTTTAAGTATCATTAATTATAATAACTTCTAGGCACTGTACGTCACTGTATATCATGTATTACCAATCACTGTAAAATAACACTGAAAATCATATATTGTGACTAAATACAACTCAAGTATCGTAAATTGAGTGTAATTTCCGTGTATTGTAAATCTCTGAAAACACTGAGAGAGAGAGAGAGAGAGAGAGAGAGAGAGAGAGAGAGAGAGAGAGAGAGAGAGAGAGAGAGAGAGAGAGAGAGAGAGGGCGTCACTTACCTGGGGAATATCTACACTTTCACCGCTGTTGTTAAAGGTCCATTTAAACGCCATAGGCTTCGGATGAGCGTCTGTTCATATTTGGCCGCGTTACACACTGGAAGGGTGATTCAAGTGTGGGCCAGGGTGATGTACAGGTGTGGGCCAGGGTGATGTACAGGTGTGGGCCAGGGTGATGTACAGGTGTGGGCCAGGGTGATGGCCAGGTGTAACAGGGTGATGGACAGGTGTGGGCCAGGGTGATGGACACAGGTGTGGGCCAGGGTGATGGACAGGTGGGCCAGGGTGATGCACAGGTGTGTGGGGCCAGGGTGATGTACAGGTGTGGGTCAGGTGATGGACAGGTGAGGGCCAGGGTGATGTACAGGTGAGGCCAGGGTGATGTACAGGTGGGGTCAGGGGTGATGGACAGGTGAGGCCAGGGGTGATGTACCAGGCCAGGTGATGGGTGAGGCCAGGTGATGTACAGGTGAGGGCCAGGGTGATGTACAGGTGAGGCCAGGGGTGATGTACAGGTGAGGCCAGGGTGATGTACAGGTGAGGGCCAGGGTGATGTGACAGGGTGATGTGGGCTGGTGGTGAGGGGCCAGGTGTACATGTGGCCAGCAGGGCCAGGGTGATGGACAGGTGTGGGCCTGGGTGATGGACACAGGTGTGGGCCAGGGTGATGTACAGGTGTGGGCCAGGGTGATGTACAGGTGTGTGGGCCAGGGTGATGTACAGGTGTGGGGCCAGGGTGATGGACAGGTGTGGGCCAGGGTGATGTACAGGTGTGGGCCAGGGTGATGGACAGGTGTGGGCCAGGGTGTTTGCTTCCTTCCTATATTCCTACTAACTTTATTCTCCCTCATTTGTTCATCTCTCCCTTTCCTTATTCCTCCCTACTTTTCCGTATTATTCCCTCTTTATTTTATTCCTCCCTCTCCTCTGTACGTTCCTTCCTTACGTTCTTCCTCCCTTTCTTTCCTAGTTCCTCTTATCCTTCTCTCCTTCTATCATTTCACTTCGTTTTCTTACTGCAGTCTTCCTTCCCTCCTACCTCCCATTCCCTTCTTTACTTCCCTGTTCCTTTCTCTCCTTCCTTCCCTTACTTCTTCCCTCTTCCCTCACCTTTCCATCCCTCTATGTCCCTCATTCTTCGTCTTTCCTTCCTTCCTTCCTTCACATCATTATTTTCTAATTTCCCTCTTTCCTCTCTTCTCCTTCCTTCCTCTCCGTCTCTCTCTCCTACCCTCCCACACTCTCCTCCCTCTCCTCTCATATATAATTCACGCAAGGGAGGGGGACCTTCCCTCTTCCATCCTGATTATTATTATTCCCCTCTCTCTCTCTCTCTCTCCCTTTATCTAATTTCCCCTGTCTCCTTCCCTTATCTAATTTCCCTCCGGATCTTTTCATTATGCATTACTTTATTTCCCATAATCTGCATGTTTTATCCTTCAGTCCCTCTGTCTCCTCATTTATTATCTCCTTCTCTCTCCCCTTTTATCTCCCAGTTCCTGTATTTATTGTCCCTTTGTCTATGTTATATTCATTTATCTCATATTTCCTCAATTCCTATGCTTATAGTTCCTTTGTCTCATTCTTACCGCCTTTATCACATCTCTCTTAGTTCTCTCTCTCTTAAGCTCAGGAGATAAGCTTAAGAGATAACTATTAAAGGTAAGTAATTCTCTCACTTGATGATGACTCATAATTGAACCTCATGAGGCTATTATTTTTGATGGGGTTATATCTACACCTAAAGCTCAAGTATGACCCTCAAGTATGACCCTCATAATATCACTCTTGAGCCTTAGATGGATGTCGTGTTTAAACCTCACACTTGGCTCATAAAAGAATATCATACTCACACTTGACTCATAAAAGAATGCCATACTCACACTTGACTCATAAAAGAATATCATACTCACACTTGACTCTGAGAAGGATAGGGTTAGAGTGTCCGTCACCCTCGATGTTGGAGGCGACGCAGTAGTAGTTTCCCGAGGCTCGTCTTGCCACCCTCTGTAGCACCAAACTCTGGTTACTGATGATGATCCCGGCCGTGACGTTGTGCTGCAGCTCCTTACTCTGTGGTACAATACTAAAGTTAGCTCTCTCACACTGTTTTGTCTTTATCTGTTAGGGAGAAATTGTGCTTCAACTGACCAAGAACAGTCTCAGCCACGTGTACACTTGGTAAAAGACTGTTCGTTATCTTATGCACTTAGAGACAGACAGACAGACAGACAGAGTGGTTTAGAGTCAGACAAACACGTGGTCTTATTGGATGGTTATATGTGAAGGTCTGCCAGACTCCTATAACTTTGATCACTATGTAAACAAAGCTAACACGTCCTTTGTGGAATAGATTCTTCACTTTATAACCAACATTCCCACAATGACAGAGACCCAGTGCATTCACAAAGGAAAGTTCAACGGAAAAATATCGTTGTGGGAGACAGAAGTGCTGAATTTCCTGCCATTTAACCTCTAGTCTAACGTAGCCAGGCTAAAGCTGAGTGGGTGGTGGTGCGTCACAGTCGAGGAATTTTGATTGGCGGATAAGTCAATGGGCGGGTCTTCGGGGATCCCTCGGTTAACATATACTATCCCCGAGAGCTTCCTACCCTAGTGCAGCCAATACACCCAGGTGCTGTAGTGGGTAACACACGTCTCATGCACCCAGGGGTTAGGTATAACACTCACCTCGTGTAGCCAGCCTATCTTGTACACCCAGGGGTTAGGTATAACACTCACCTCGTGTAGCCAGCCTATCTTGTACACCCAGGGGTTAGGTATAACACTCACCTCGTGTAGCCAGCCTATCTTGTACACCCAGGGGTTAGGTATAACACTCACCTCGTGTAGCCAGCCTACCTTGTACACCCAGGGGTTAGGTATAACACTCACCTCGTGTAGCCAGCCTATCTTGTACACCCAGGGGTTAGGTATAACACTCACCTCGTGTAGCCAGCCTATCTTGTACACCCAGGGGTTCGACTGTATGGAACACTCAAAGTATACGTCGTCACCTTCTTCAATATTACTCAGGTTCAAAGATCGTCCTGGCTGCAGTTTGGTGACTGGCACGTCTGGCAAGGGGGTAGAGGAGAGGGTGCACTGTACTGTGTGGCCTTAAATACTGTACTGCTGTGTATGTATTTAATACTGAGGTGTAGTGAAGGTGGCAATTATTGTACCATATTCCCCGGCCCGTCTGGGAGTTCATACACCTGGCGGAGAGGTTCAAGAGAGGGCCAGAGTTACCATATGTGGTGATATTACAAGGTTGATGCATCTGGCCAAGAGTACAGGTGTGGACAGAGTTAGCAGGTGTGCTCTTAATGTTTGGCAGATACTTGTAAGAGATACTTGAGTTAGTAGTTGTCGTGCTGCATAAGCTTGGTCATCAGCTTCTCAATTCTCAAGCTAAGATGAAATGTTGTGGACAAAAAGAATTCGGCAGCCAGGGAGGGAGGGAGGGAGGTGGTGTTACATAAATGTGGCGAACAAAAGTCTGTGACTCTTTCTACACCACAAATCTTTTCATTTTTTTTAGTTTAATTATGAGGCAGACTCAGCTTACACTCCCTCCCTGCCGAATTATTTGTGTCCACAGCTGTATAGTCGGGATAAATTTAGTTGTTTTTGCACCGGCCGTCTGTAGGCATGTGTACGTCAAGCAGATATTACGAGAAGTTTAAGTTTTACTGTCTCATCCTGTTATATACTGTACATGTGTCTGGCATCAGTGTTTGAGAGTACACAAAGATATTTATTACAATATCAGCCTGTAATTGACAAAAGGAAAGATTAACACTGCGTGGTTTAGTGTTATTATTAAAGCATTTTCCTGTCTAATGTTCTGTACTAAATTCACCAATAGTTACTCTTGGTTGTCGTAGTATCTATATTGTTTCTCAAAATGGTAAAGAATTCTGCCAATTTATATCCAGAGAGAGAGAGAGAGAGAGAGACTCACAATATATGTCCAGTCTCCACTTGTCGACCATGGGGCCAGCAGGATTCAGCACAGGTGAGTCAGCCCGGCAGGTCAGCATCTTTCCTGCGTCCCTCACACTAGGCGTCCACCTTAACTCACTCGTCGTCACATTACCTTCCTGCGACGACTGTGGAAAGAAGCCAGTGATCTTATCAGCTACTACTGGTTATAGTGATGTTTGAGACACGAATTAACATAATAGCAGTCATACTATCTGCTAGTGGTGGTGGTAAGCCATTAGGATGCTCTCAGTCTTTGCACTGAACCACCATGTTACAGCTCTTCTTGTTAGTGTCCAGGAGTGTCGTAACCTACTGTCAACTACCAGCCATCACGGTCATCTAGCACAACCTATCAACTATCAAACGCAATATTTGGTCATATGGAGTTAGAGTTATCATACAGGTTTAACCACTTGTTAACTATACTATCAGTATAATAAACCACGACTCATACATTGCACACTTTACATCGACCAATCATGATCTTCAGTTGTTTTAATATAATATATCTTTCCCTGTGAGTTACGACTGCCGCTATCATCACCAAGTTACTGTAAAGTTGACCGAAATGGAATTATTGGTTTTTGAGTAAGTGGTCTATTGTGTTTCTCTGAGGGACGACTTGCGTATCCTTCAGGTCATTAAAGGAAAGAACATTTGGGGACCCTGGCGAGGTATGTATCCTGTAGGACTCAATAATCACATCTTCACACCTACTTCGAAAGCATTAGGTGGGATACAAGATATCCGGGGAAGGAAAATGGAATGAATTTTAAGAAAACACGAGACAACTCAGGAATTGAGAACATGTGTTACAGTATTGTCAAGAAAAGAAATTGGTCGTCAACTAGAGAACTGAACTGAGGGAAGAGATGTGGGTCTTGAGGTCTCATTCATTTGATAACCTGGATGATCTAGACGTGAAGGATATCATACTGACTACTACTTGATGGTCCACAGAAACTATTCCTCCACACACTGTGATAAAGGTGTGCTCATTAACCAAGCTGCCACAGATGACAGTAAATGCTTAATCCTTTCTATATTTTCCTACTGAAGCTGTTACTAAAATGTTTTTGGCTGATTGAAGCTTTTCGGATCAGCTTACAGTAAGGTATTATACTTGCTGAAGGTGTGGGTGGCGACATACCTGGTCAGTGTGGGTGGCGACATACCTGGTCAGTGTGGGTGGCGACATACCTGGTCAGTGTGGGTGGCGACATACATGGTCAGTGTGGGTGGCGACATACATGGTCAGTGTGGGTGGCGACATACCTGGTCAGTGTGGGTGGTGTCATACCTGGTCAGTGTGGGTGGCGACATACCTGGTCAGTGTGGGTGGCGACATACATGGTCAGTGTGGGTGGCGACATACCTGGTCAGTGTGGGTGGTGTCATACCTGGTCAGTGTGGGTGGCGACATACCTGGTCAGTGTGGGTGGTGAGGCTGGAATCGTCAAGACTCCAGGTAATAACAGCAGGGGGTCTGGCTCCCACGGCCTGACACAGTAGGTCGTAGGGTCGGCCAGCGCTCAGAGGTCCTTGGTCACCTAGGATACGAACCAACAGTGGCGGAACTGTTGAGGAAGACACAGGCAGGTGAGAAGAGTGAGTTAGTCAGTGCTAGCAGGTCAGACGTCGTGGCTCCACACCAGCACAGATCACCGGCCACATCTAGAAGGTTATATGTCATTACCCAAGACAGACAAGACTGTTGACCCTCTACAGTCAGGTCATCAACAGGATATAGTCGTAAATTAAACAAAAACAATAAGAGCCAAGGTGAAAGACCCAACCGAATCCAATAAAAAAATAACTTCCTAAAAAAAAAAAAAATCGACTCATCCTGGCTGAGTCGTCCCACAGCTAGTGAGTCGTCCCACAGCTAGTGAGTCTTAATGGAAAGCTTTAGCTGTTCCTTAACACTGTCGCTAGGTATTTAATGATTACTATAGAAGAACGTTCTTGTCTCGATGATGGCTGTAGGAGGATGAAGGCCAAACTCTTACAGAACGGGTTAACCTAAGAACAGAAGACGGTCATCTTGAAACCTTTACACTGGACTACCAACCCTCAACCGGAAAGATAAAGCAGGAGTCTCAGAACCCTGTAGTCACCATCAGTCCTCCACACTCTACAGGGAAGGAGTCTCAGCACCCTGTAGTCACCATCAGTCCTTCACACTCTACAGGGCAGGAGTCTCAGCACCCTGTAGTCACCATCAGTCCTTCACACTCTACAGGGAAGGAGTCTCAGAACCCTGTAGTCACCATCAGTCCTTCACACTCTACAGGGAAGGAGTCTCAGCACCCTGTAGTCACCATCAGTCCTCCACACTCTACAGGGCAGGAGTCTCAGCACCCTGTAGTCACCATCAGTCCTTCACACTCTACAGGGAAGGAGTCTCAGCACCCTGTAGTCACCATCAGTCCTTCACACTCTACAGGGCAGGAGTCTCAGCACCCTGTAGTCACCATCAGTCCTCCACACTCTACAGGGCAGGAGTCTCAGTACCCTGTATAGAATTATTAAAGACCAGAGTACCACGAGGACTCCGCCATACATCAGCTGGTACTGTACTGTACGTGGAGGCTGGACAACAGCTCGGACTCGTTACTCTCGCCATAGACTAGACAATAAAAGAGACGATAATAGAAGGTAGATAAAAAAGTCAACTCACAGTTCATGTTGATGGTGACGGTGGTCTCAAGCGGCTCCGTCAAGTTGGTGTTAGCTGCCTGACAGGTCAAAGGTCGGTGTAGGTCACGTCTGGAGAGAGAGGTCACCAGGAGGGTGTTGGTAACGTGTTCTGACGTCTCCTCCTCCGAGGTCATGTCTAATAGCACCGCCCCCTCCCACCAGGTGACCCTTGGGGGCGGTGACCCCCCAATAGCTCGACAGTGAAGGGTGATGGTGTCGCCCTCCAAAAAGGGACCCACAGAGCTCCTCACCTCAGCACCTTCGTCAGTATACACCACCAGGTTGTGAGGAGGTACTGTGAAGGAGACAAGGAGGCCATGAGCGACAGAGAGGCAGCATAATATTCCTAAATTATTGACGTTTACATCTTGTACACAACTTTAGGTAGAACGATTATTGACACTGAGGAAATCCATCATTATTGAACCAAACTGGGCAGTCCCGTTTACACCCAACCCCTATCGCTCATATATCCATCCAACCTATGTTTGAAGCTATCCAGCAATGTTTGAAGCTACCCAGCAATGTTTGAAGCTATGATGGTGTACACATTTAGTTAATTAACAGTAGGGAAAATAACAGTAAAGAAGAAGGATAAGTGATGACTGAATGATTATCATAGGTACATAAACAGAGTGTGTGGATGTAATAAAGAAACACCTATTCATTTATTGATCAATTTACTAGGAGTCAGACACACACACATATACTGTATATATTGTTTTTAAAGTGAGAAACAAGCTCCTAAAGTTTTTCGTTTGTTACTCCACAACCAATGAAGATATCAAGGTGGGGTTTGTTTTATTCTGAAGACTTTTGTTGTACAAGATTTGTGTATGAGTGTCATACATCACTTTCCATGTGCCCCAGACGCGTGTCCATTGGCCGAAGCGGGTCTACTCGCTGTGTCGTTGGCTTAGCTGGGAGGTGTGGTGGGTGTCGCGAGCCTGTCATTGGTTGCTATGTGAGTTAAAGGGACTCAGTGCGGTGGGGTGAGACTTGCGGCCTTGTGTGACGAATGTGTGTTGAACATGGTCCTTCTAGTTACACAAACCAATGTATTTCAGTGATATTTTTGACCATGTGAGAGTAACACAGGGCCGCAAATCCAAGCTCCACAAGACAGAACTCAACTTGGAGAATATATTGGCACCAACAACTCCATTTTCCCCATGGTGGTGCTTGCGGCCTTGTGCTTCTGAGGCCTTCATATATACATCAATGCCACGATACCATAAGGACAACAAAACAATCCTCGGCTTTGTTGTATTTCACACAATCCTGCTCCTTCCTTTATTCTTGAGCAACAGGGCCTGCCAGGATAGCCGTACCAACTACAGTATGTGGTCGTAGTAGCATGTTACAAAACTAGCTAGCGTGAGGCTCTCTCTGGTGGAAGGCTCTCTGGCGGGAGGCTCTCGTTGCTTAGAATAAGACGAAGGAGCAGACTCTATGAAATACAGCAAAGCCTAGGATATTTGATGTCCATGGATCGCTATCCCTGTTCACATGTAGGGTCACGGGCTCGATTCCAGGCTAGAGAGAGAGAGAGACAGACGACAGACAGAGAAGTTAGAGAGGTAAAGGTACTTACCCACAACAGACAGGTTGGAGGTGAAGGTCAGTGTAGGGTTGGTGCGGAAGTCTACCCTGCAGCGGTAAGTCCCCTCGTCCCTCAACTCCACCCGCTGGATGATGAGGGCGTTCCTTGCTGCCTCGAAGGTGGCTCGTAGTCCCAGGTGTGCGGGGCTCTTCCAGTGTGTGGCCGGCCCGTGACGCATGTCGTAGCTGTGGAGGGAACAACATGGGAGAGGTGTTGGTATTGTTGTGAACCAGAAGTTGAGCAGTATAAAGGGATACCGGACAGTGTGAGATAGTGTTATGGTGGTCAAGTTTAAAGCTAAACCCGAAGACTTGGTGATAATACAGGTTTATGTACCAACAAATGATAGTGAGGATGAAGTCTCAGGAATTGTTGATAAATATTAAAAGAAAACCAAAGACACTGTGAAGTTTAATGAATATGTGATGATAATGGATTATTTTAAGGCCAAGGTTGGGGAAGGTAAAGTAGCACCTGGAGTAGGACCACATGACCTGGGTAATAGAGGAGAAATATTAATTAACTTATATAAGGAAAACAAGATGATAAATACTGAAGATGGTTAGAACAACACCCGAGGCCTTATCTGCGACGGCCAAATGACTCACCAAGATTCATCGTTTGACGTAATCTTGTGTTGGAGAGTTTCATAAGAGAGGGTACAAGCAACACAAGGATTCGTTGTATGAGCACTGCTGTTAACTGACGACCAAGCCAAGGTCAACGATTATGTATTTACCAAATGGAAAATCTTGTTGACGGAAGACAAGATTAAAGGCCCGAGCCGGTGGAAATATATTACAATTTATGAGATTAATAAAATAAAATTATCTCACCAGACCTTACTAAAATAGTTCTCAGGGTGTCCATAAATGATTACCCTAAAAACAGTGGTAGACCTTGCTTTAATCAGGGTACTCATTTATGAACACCCTGTATTTCTTCAATATTCAAAGCGATTGAGTTACCGGATCTATATTCTGAACACAGGAAGAGAATAATGAACAAAACTCCATTGAGAATTGAACACTTTTACACTAACGGTGAAACAACACGATCGACCTGTCACCAGCAGGAATAGTGAGCCCTCTGGTGTAAAGGAGAGTGTAGCTGGCAAGAGAGAGAGAGAGAGAGAGACGGGAGAAACAGAGAGAGAGAGAACTTTGTAAGTACTTTCTCTCACTTTCCCTACCCTTTCTCACGACTATCTCTCTCTCTCTCTCTCTTACTCTATTTGTATCTAATATCAGAAACGAAAAATATTCTTTATAATTACATATTATCGTTTCTAATAATAATAATAATAATTAACAGTTTATTGAAAGAGCATAGCAGCCGGAAGGATGAAAATATACAGTTACATAATTGGTGAATGGGTCTCTTGATTGACAAATAATATACAAGTAACATAAGTGATACAAATAAGATATATAATAACTAGGTGAGGAGAAGCTCAAACTACAGGGCATTTCAACATAGTAACAGTGCAAGAAGTAGTATTTACCGGGAGTGAATACACCGATTGATTACAAGTTATTGATAATTTTTACAATGGATGGGACTGGGCTGTTCTTATAGCGATCAGATTAACCTGACCTCTGACCTGTAGACGGACCAAGCTGACCTGTAGATACCAGATTGACCTGTACATGGACCAAGCTGACCTGTAGATACCAGATTGACCTGTACATGAACCAAGCTGACCTGTAGAGACCAGATTGACCTGTACATGGACCGGACTAACCTGTAAATAGGCTTGTGGACACCAGTTTTGTACCAAAGAACGAGACGGGCGGCATCCTTGGGTAGCGGTGCAGTCAGATTGCAGGGTAGCTCGGCTGGCCCACCTGCAGCTGCCCACACAATTCTTGTCGGGCCTGTTAACAGATGACAACAGTATAAATCCCACCGTTTTCCCTGTTAACAGATGGCAACAGTATAAATCCCACTATTTCCCTGTTAACAGATGACAACAGTATAAATCCCACCGTTTTCCTGTTAACAGACAAGAAGCAGTCCATTTTATACCCGTTTATAAAAAAAAAGTGTGAGATCTTATTCCCGTTAACAGACAAAAATTACTCCTTTCCATGCCTGTTAACAGTCAACGTAATCCGGCCTATGAGTATTAACAGGCAATAGTATAAAATCTCCGTACTCGTTAACATAAAGGTGTTAAATCCCTCTAACACTTATTAATGTATCGATAAGCAATAAATAACAATTATTTTCGTTATAAAATTTAACAAAAACGATGAAAATTGATTTACAGAACAGTTCAGACAGTTGTTCGTGGTGATATAGTTACAGTTTTTTATCACAACACACAGGTAGAAGTGACATTTTGAGTGGTGGTGGTGGTGGTAGTAATGGTAGTGGAGATGGTGGTAGTGGTGGTGGTGGTAGTGTGGTGGTGGTGGTGGAGAAGTGAGAGGAATAGAGAATGGTAAGAAAGGGTGAGAGAGATAGAGAGAGATTGAGAGAGATAAAGTGAGAGCGAGAAGAGAGAGATGTAGAGAGAATAAGAGTTATAAAGAGAAAGAACTATATAAGCGAAGAGACATCACTAGCTCACCAGACCTTACACAAAGCTAAGGTATATAATCATTAAAGCTATACTCATCAGCTACATTATCAACCTTGTGAATTAATATTACTGCCTGTGAACTAGACGGCTATAACACATCACAAATGACACTCCATTAAAACGATGCCTCACTCGGTAAAATCCTTAACACACTCGGCATCATATACACGGCAGAAGCTTTCAACGAGACGACAGATTTATAAAACTCAGTATTTCCAAATATGATAAATTCCTTTTCTGCTCCAAGAGGTGAAAGGTAATTGAATATATCATTAACCACGACCCAGGTATGATAATGATGATGATGATGATGATTATGATGATGATGATGATGATGATGATGATGATTATGATGATGATGATGATGATGATGATGATGATGATGATGATGATGATGATGATGATTATTTACGTTTGTGTGAGTCTTGCTGTCTTCTCCTCTCTCCATCGCATCTTTATACACTTCAAATAAAACTGATAGATATCTGTTGAGTCTTTAACTACGTGTTGTATTATAGATTTGTTTATATGTCTGTATATTACCTTTGTTTTGATATAAATTAAAGGATGACTCACTTTCATTACCAGGAAAATGTCATTGAGGAAAATTTGAGTTTAGTTAAATTATCCCGGTTTAACCCAGGGGAAACATCTCTCTCTCTCTCTCTCTCTCTCTCTCTCTCTCTCCCCAGCTACCACAGTTCATTCGACACACACACACACACACACACACTGTCACAGCAAGAGCAGGAAACACTGACTAATTATCAACAAAGTTATGATTGAAATGGCGAAGAGAAGGAATAATTGATACTTAAATTTACCGTATCTACTGTCCTGTGTGTGTGTGTGTGTGTGTGTGTGTGTGTGTGTGTGTGTGTGTGTGTGTGTGTGTGTGAGTGAGTGAGTGAGTGAGCAGGTAACGTTAATTAATAAAACACATCTACTGTTCATTTTATTCATCACCTGATCAATAACAACTTCTGTAATAGGAAGAGCAACACAAAATAGCAACATTGGCAAAGTTTTTCTCGATTATATTCCATTAAAGTGTTGTTGCGGGATGGAGAGGAACGCCAGGCACTGTCAACTGCTCGTGCTGGCGTTGTTTTATGATTCGACCTTTACGTGTTTCTTATGGTGACGTCACTAAAAGACTTTAACTGCCGTCTGTAACTCAATAACTCTGTAACTGTAACTGTAACTCTGTAACTGTGTCTCTATAACTATAACTGTAACTCTATAACTGTAACTGTAATTCCCATTGGTGTTTTATATTTAAGATCAATGTTACAGCTGTCTGTCTGTCTGTCTGTCTGTCTGTCTGTCTGTCTGTCTGTCTGTCTGAGGTTGGTTAAACACGTGTAATGTTTTTGGTGTAACTCGCGGCAAAATTACCTGATGTTCTTATGGCAGTTGTTTGAGCAATGATATAACACGTAAGGTTAGGATAGGTTAGATTAGGTTAGGTTAGGTTAGATTAGGTTAGGTTAGATTAGGTTAGGTTAGGTTAGGTTAGGAAAACGATGAAACAGACAGCCAGCTTCAACGGTGAGAAAAAAAAATTGACATTCCTTGCATCACTAGTTCAATATTTACCCTGTCGTGGGGAAGGTTCGGGGGCAGGGGGTCCAGCCACTCGTTTCATTTATTTCATATTCGTTTGGTATCAAATTTATCTTTTTTATGTTTTAATTTTAGTTAAAAATTTGTTCTGTATTTGTAAAAAAAAAAAGTTTTCAACAAGTTATCCCGTTTCTGTCTATTTTTACTGAGTACAATTTGGTGAATTAATTTCCATATAAAGTATTAATGAAACTATATTTATATTTTGTTTAAGCCATATTTAAAACTTTCTCTCACTCAAATATGTTCATCACTCTTTTCAGTATAGAGTTATTTCACGTCGTACAATTATCCTGTCAGATAAATCACTCTTTATATATATATCTATCTGTCTAAAGTGTCGAGAGCTATTATTGATCACCATGAACTGGTCTGATTCCCTGTATATTTCTGTTTTACTTATTCATTTAACTTGTTTGTGAATATGTATATGTGTATAATGTATGTGAACCTGTGTGTGTGTGTGTGTGTGTGTATGTGTGTGTGTATGTGTGTGTGTATGTGTCTGTGTGTGTATGTGTATGTACATGTATGTAATAACTAAGCGAAGCTCTGGTATATGTCAAGCAACACGAACACCGGCCTGTATGTCGCATAGTTGAGTGACGGTACTGAGTGACACATTAGTTGGGGTGACGGTGCTGAGTGACGATGCTGGTTGATACATGGATGAGTGACAGATAGACAGAGATATAGACATAGACAAAAAGAGGGACAGAGACGGGCTGACAGACAGATACTAATGGTTGTCCCTTGGGTTAACGAGGATGGCCGGCTCAAGGGCCACCCAGGCGTGAATTTGTTTAAGGTGTAGAAACTATCGCCAACACAACAACCACACCCTGAGTTAAGGAGTTGCATGACCCAGTGTTTAAGGTGTAGAAGCTGTCGCCAACACAACAACCACACCCTGAGTTAACGAGTTGTATGACCCAGTGTTTAAGGTGTAGAAGCTGTCGCCAACACAACAACCACACCCTGAGTTAACGAGTTGTATGACCCAGTGTTTAAGGTGTAGAAGCTGTCACCAACACAACAACTACACCCTAAGTTAACGAGCTGCATGACCCAGTGTTTAAGGTGTAGAAGCTGTCGCCAACACAACAACCACACCCTGAGTTAAGGAGTTGTATGACCCAGTGTTTAAGGTGTAGAAGCTGTCACCAACACAACAACTACACCCTAAGTTAACGAGCTGCATGACCCAGTGTTTAAGGTGTAGAAGCTGTCGCCAACACAACAACCACACCCTGAGTTAAGGAGTTGCATGACCCAGTGTCAAGGAATAGTCCGAGAAGACCGGACAACTCGCCAACTGCACTGGCTAACCATTACCCCGGAACACGATCCGCAGGTCGATTAACATCCAGGTTCCCAATTACTGCTGGGTAGACAAAGGTAAATGGCGTAAAGAAACTTGACCATAGATTCACCCTGCCCGGGGATCGAACCCGGATCCACTCGCTTGCGAGGCGAGTATGCTGACCATTACACCTCCGCCGCCGCCACCGCCACCACCAACACCGCCACCACCACCACCAGTATATAACCCGGATTTAATTCCTCCTGTAATATGACCTTACGACCGAGCTGCATCTCTCACCAGGAAATAATGTAGTGAAGACGACGAGGAAGAGGAGGAGGAGGAGGAGGAGAAAAATAATTAATTACATTACGACCGAAGGAACATTATATTATTATTGCTCTCTCTCTCTCTCTCTCTCTCTCTCTCTCTTTCTCTCTCTCTCTCTCCTCAGTGTCCATATATAAATGTTATACTAAATCATGTAACACCACATCACTGGCCTCCCGGTGTTAATATAGAGGAGGTGCTGTGTGTTAACTCCAGGTAGACACCATCAACCAGGCAGCGGTGTTGAAGATCTCGTAAGTTACCTCTCTGTCTCTCTCTGTCTCTCACTCTGTCTCTCACTCTGTCTCTCACTGTCTCTCACTCTGTCTCTCACTCTGTCTATACCGTAATGTTGTAACTCACTCACCAACAGCCTCGTGCCCAAGCCTTCAGTGAGGAGAGAGAGAGAGAGAGAGAGAGAGAGAGAGAGAGAGAGAGAGAGAGAGAGAGAGAGGGGTTGTCAACACACTCCAGTAAGAGTTGTTTAGTTATAACTAATAAATACTTTCCTTTACCACAACAGAAAGACTTTTAAATCACCTTATCAAGTAGTAAGAGAACGTTATCAATATCACTTTCTTAATTCACAAATAAGTGATAATAAATAACATGTTTAAATCACAGAGGAGATTAATATAAATAAAATGTAACACACAACAAGATTACTGATTTGTTTTCAATATTCTGAAGAAATAGATGGAGCCGCTTGCATGCCTTACTCAGTGACATAAGCTCCTGCCTCAGTCACTAACCCGTAAGCAAGTTGGAAACAAACCACACCAGCACAAGACCTCTAAACCACGCACTTGATTTACTCAATCACCAGACGTTTATATTTCCTCTTCACGCGGGAGTAAGAGCACTTTCTTCCCACGAGAGAGAGTAGAAGTTAAATTACTTTCTCCACTCAGTGTAAGAGAGTTAAAATTACTTTCACTCCCCCTAGTCTCTGGCTGAGGGAACTCTGAGTATGTCACACCTGCTCTCTCTCTCTCTCTCTCTCTCTCTCTTTCTCTCTCTCTCTCCCTCTC